CTATGGCAACGTGGGGTATAGGGCAGGGCCTTCCACATCTGCCTTGTAAGCATAAGCAATGGTTGGGAACCACAGAGAACAGAAAAGGGGGGGCTCAGGGTCCAGAGGACCCCTTTCCAGTTTTCCCCAGACAGAGCCCACCCGCTCTCACCGTTCTTCCCCCTCCACCCTGCAGCTTGTGACATGGAACCCCAGGGCTGTCTTCTCAGGCTTGGGGCCTCTGGGCCTTGGGGCCACCTCTCCCCACCTTAGGTAGCCTGTCTGACTTCCAGGACCCCCATCATCTAGGTGCCCCTAAGCTCAGATAGTAGGTAGGGTCTGGTGATGCTAAGGAGGCAGGGCTCACTCAGTCACCAGAGGGCAGGGCTAGACCTGGGAGCTGGATGCAGTCCCTGTCCCCCTAGGTTTGGGGGCAGCAGAGAGAGCTGGCTGTGGCCAGTGTACACCTGGAGGGTGGGGTAGGGTGGGGTGGATGGGGAGAGGTCAGGTTGAAGTTCAGAGGGCTGGGGCACAGAGAAGCAGGTCCCAGGCACTGAGGCCATGGGTGTGTATGCTGGCAGTGGGGGGTGGCTTGGCAGGGCAGAGGGCTCTGGGAGTGCCAGTTCTCATGACCTCTGGACCTACCAGGTGAGCAGGCCTGTGGGTGCCCGCCAGTGGCCTCTGAGACCCCGCCACTCCTTTCCTGGCCTTTCCAGTGGACAGGAGTGTCTCCCTGTGCCCCAGTGCCAGGTTTCCCTGAAATCCACCTTTCCCAGTGGGCACACAGGTCCCACAAACACGAGTTGGCTCAGACCCATCTCCACCCCACGGCACGCACTCCCCAGGAGAGGCCCACAGAGGACCTGGGCTCAGAGAGTCATCCTCAGGGAACCAGGGTCTAGACAGAGCCTGCAAGCCGCAGACAGGAACCCACAGGGCAGCTGGGGTGCAGTGTCCGGGGGCTGGCAGCCCTGTGGGCGGCTGGCCTGGCCTGGCCTGGCCTGGTCAGCCTAAGTCAGACCCACCGCCCTGCGGGCTGAGGCAGCACTGAGGCGTGGCCCTGCCTTCCAGAAGCTGTCATACCTTCTCCCACAGCTGCAGGGAACCTCAGCGTGCCCAAAATGAAAGAGAAAGTCCCCGCCCCCCTTTC